AGTTGGGCTGGTGGATCGCTGTAGAGATGAACCAAAATAAGACCATGACAACATCCATATTTGGACTAGGAACAGAATTCATTGCAAAAACATATAAGGAAAAGGAATGGCTAATGAAGAAATGCAGTGATTTGTTTCCCTCTAAAGCTAACAAAATAGATAAGAGAATGCTTTGTACCCCTTGATCTTAGTTCCAGATTATGCTCCCTCAGTTTTAATTCCACAAAGTTTCCTTTCTTTTTTAACAAAATATATTTGCAATGAGAACTCCATGTGATATTAGTTGATTGAGCTGCATCTTGTGTTTGAGTGAGCTGCCTTTTATTTTCATTTTTAGTCAGCCTCTCTGTGGAAGGACAATAATATAATTGAAGGGAAAACAGTGGAATTTTGATCCAGTTTTTCTTTTCTTCTTTTGGAGGGATTGTACTTTTTATAACAATGAAGAGAGAGCTAAGTGTGCTAACTCTCTATTTTCTTAAAGTATTTGTTGTTCATTTGTTTTGTTGAAAAGTGATAATATCAGCAACATGTCACTGACCTCTGAAGCTGAATACTTAAATAGATGCAAAGATGGCATCCTAAGCCCAGCAAATCACCTTCCTAATGTTAATTCAAATCATTAGGAATATAATCATTGCAGGGGGTCGAAACAAGAACGCAAAGAGAATCTGCTGGTGGCCATTAAATAGACAAGATGATCTTCTTTCAAGGTCAAAGTTGCACCAGACCCCTTTGGTGGGGTTAATTGAGCAAAATTGTTTTCTAAGCAAAGTCTTCTGTACAAAACACCACGAAGTGTGTAGAAGTATTAAAGAGTAATTATGATGCCCAGAAATCCTTCAGGAAGGACAGGAAAGGCTACATGGCATTCTCCATACTTCCTGGCCTCCTTGCCATTGCATGAAATGGGAGGCAAAGAAGTCCTAGGGCTTTAGCCAAAGAAACCAGAAATTGATCAATAGCTGGGATGCTCACTGAGCCTACACAAAACGCTTACACAAAAGTTATGGGGAGTTTTGCAACAGACAATTGCTGAGAAGATTTTGCTTCCTTTTTCCTTTTCTTTTTCCTTCTTGATGAAGTAAGGGCTAAACTTGCACCCAGAAGAAAATATTGGTAGTCCTTGACTTGCTGTCACAACTGAGACCAGAATTTCCATTGCCCAGCAAGCCAGTTGTTAAGTGAGTCGTGCTCAGTTTTACAACCAGTTTTGCCACTTTGTTAAGTGAACCACACAGTCATTAAGGGACCCAGCTTGCTCCATTGGCTTTGCATATGGGAAGACAGCTGGGAAAGTCCCAAATGAGGATCCCATGAATGAAGGATGCTGCAAGCGTCATAAATACACGATTCTGTGACTGAAGGGAGGCTGTGATGGCTGTAATTGCGAGGACCGGTCGTAAGTCATTGTTCTCAGGGCCATTGTAACTTTGAACGGTTGCTAAACAAATGGTTCTAAGTCAATGACTTCCTGTACGTTGCTACCTGCTGATTTCAGAAGACTGCAATATATGACAGAGATGTAACATATTCTACCCTAATGAAAGGACGAGGCAGGAAAACCCCAAGGATGCTAATTTATCTTTTTTTTTTCCTGATTATGCTTACTACGCTGTTTCTTTAAACTCCGGTGTTTTGGAGGAAGCTACTGAATGATGGTTATTCAAATTCTGAGGACAGTTCTACCTTTTTAAATATGACACATTTTAACTACACATGGTAAAGTGACACACAAATGACCATAATCCTCCTTTTTTCTAACTCCACGACCATTTCATTTTTGTATATTCTCAATATATTTAATTTAACAATTAATTGCAACCATTTAAAAATAAGTTGATTGGAAAGACATTAAAAGTTTCCCTCAATCCTTACCTTATCGCGGGAGACATAATGCATGTGTCACATTTACACTTCTTTCCATTTTCGTCTTCATCGTGTTCCATGCCCAGATTATGACCGAGCTCATGGGTCATTATAGCTGCAACCACAAAAACGTTTGAGCTATAATCCTGAAGGAAAGAGAATACTTTGTTTATTGTTAGTCCGCCAAGAAACTGAAAATGAATCCAATTATTATTAGCAATAAGTGGCTAAAACTGGTGACTAAGTGACCAATTTTAAGTTAAGGATACCATCTTTGGATTCCTCTAGCTGTTCTAAATGTATGTGTGCCCACCAAGACTCCAGAACATACACAAATACATTCAGAAGGAAACTTTAAAGCCCAGAAGCCACAGCACAGGAGAAGATCAAAATTTATGCATCCATTTGCTGTCTGTATTTATTCAGTTACTAAAACTTACAGGCAACTTCAGTCCAAAAACTATTCAGTGTCTTTTGCTACAAGCTAGCATTTTCAGAATATTGAAGGTAGCCATCCTAAACAGAATTAAGAATGAGTTGCTCTTTCTGAATAAAATGACCTTCTGGTGGAAACAGGATTACCTCCTACTACCAGGATCCTAACTCTGCTTATTAAGAAACAAAACTTTATGAGATGTCAAATCCATAAATAAATATGGATTAAAATGATTTGTATCAAAAATAAGAAGAGACTTCATCTGTAAAGAAGTTATGCCTGTATGTAAGTTTTCACTTGAGTACAAATAGATAACAGGTATCCTTTGTACTAACCTGAACAAGTCCTACAGAAAGTTTCGGATCGCACATGCCTTTCTTGTAAGCCACTCCTATAACGTTTTTAGTGAACGTAATGTCCCTATAAGAAAGAAGGGGAGGGGGATAAAAAATGGTAGAAGGTAGAAGCATGTTATGTAGTCTTAGGGCAGATATAACTAGTCTCAGAAGCTGTTTAACTAAGCAGATCTGTTAAAAATATTCAGGATGCATTTTCACTGTATGGTAAAGTCTGGCTGGTGTTAGCGTGAATGAGGTTGGGGAGAAGGGTTAGCATGTTGTCTGAATCCAGCCGTTTGGGTTAATTTAATACCATTAACTATTTAATAGATTTTGTCTACCAATTTAGCTGTGAGGTTAATGAAGACTAGATGGTTTGGGGAAAAGTGATTGGGTGGAAAGTCAAATCAACATCTGTGGGAAAAATATTTTTCTGCCCTCCATCTAGTATTGCATGTATTTTAATGTTATTTTAGAGTCATAGCAATTTTATACTAGTGTGTAGTAATATGGAGTAATTGTGAATAGATTTGGATTATTCTGTGTTTATTTCCTAGATTAGCTTTGGGAAGTCCTGGGTGGGGGAGGGGGGAAAAGGGTAGGTTTGTATTATGTATGATTTCTTTTTTCTTTAAAGGAGGTGTCCGGTGATGCTCCAACTGCACAGGACGGGATGGTTGAGAGTGGAAGGGAAGTAGGAAAGGGGAAGGAAGGAGGAGTGGTGGTAGAATGAGAGGATGAAGGAGTGGTAAGTGGAAGAGGGTGGTGCGGGAGGGGTACACCGGACACGTCTGAGAATGTTTTGTTAAGTGTTATATTGTGATTTATGTTTTTTTCAATGAAAATAATAAAAATTTAAATACAAAAAAAAAGAACTTATTAGCAGGAAATGCTATGTGTGGAAATGCTACGTGTGGCATAGTGTAACTTGGGCTGGTAATTTTGTGCAAAATGGGAAATATGTAATAGATCTGAATTAATCTTATGAAATAAAGTTGATGAATATCTAAAAAAAAAAGAATCATCAACAATAAACAAGTCAGTTTCCCACTCATAAAATTGAATGACAATATATAGGCTGGCGGGGTGTGGAACTGAGCAGTTAAGACAGTGGGCTTGTTGACTGGAAGGTGGACAATTTGAGATCTAAGTTCTACCTGACGCAGAGAGCTGCCGTTACTTGCTCCAGATCCTGCCGGCCTATCAGTTCAAAAGCACGCAAACATAAGTAGATAAATAGGTACCATTTTGGGGAAGGTAATAGCACTCCATGTGATTTTGTATAATGCAAGTGTTCATTTACTTGGTGAAGAATGGGAACCAAAACATTATTTAATTGAATTAAAAATGCATGTGTAAGAACAGCAAAAGTATAGCAGGATAATCATAATAGTTTCGATTTTAAATCCAGGTTTTTCACCTGCAATCAGTCAAGGACTTCTCAAAAGCAGCTCTCATCTACAAAATAAGTGGTTGACTTTGATTCAGAAGCATATTTCACACATGGTTTAAAGCATAGAGCATAGAGCAGAAGCTCTGTGCAAGCACTAACCTCCCCATAACTCTCCACTCCCGGCCACCCCCACTCCCTTTCCCCACAATGAGACCTACGTGAGTAAATGAGCACAATCATGATTTTGCTCCCTCAGCAAGACTGTCTTTCTCCAGTTTCCAAATGAGTCCAAAGTAACCTTTGAATCTGACTGCACGGTAATCAAATCTCTTGTGGACCAAATTCGTAGGAGACTCAGTGTTATAGCAACATTCAGAGGTTTGTACATCTGTCAGGTGGAAATGGCATCAATCAGAAACTCAAACAAAAGTAAACCTTGAGAAACATTTCAAGATTAAAAAGAAACTGACCTCTAGGGACAGGTGGAAAAAAACTAGATCTTAGATATCAATAGAAGAGAAATCTCTGGAGCTCAAGGTTGAAGTCCTTGGTGCTCTCTGAGTTTGCTGCTTTGCTCACTCATGTGGAGTAGTCAGATAATGAAATGTCTGCAAGGAAACCACCAAGCTCAGACAGCACTAAGGACTCTATATATTGGGCAATAATAATAATGTATTAAGCAGGAGAAATAAA